CTGTCAGATCAGCAGCAGCATTAGATTCTCATAAGGAGTGTGCAACCTAGATCCCTTGCATGCGCAGTTCACAGTAGGATTCGTGCTCCTATGAGAATCTAATGCTGCTGCTGATCTGACAGGAGGCAGAGCTCAGGTGGTAATGTGAGTGATGGGGAGCGGCTGTAAATACAGATGAAGATTTGCTCGCGCTCGCCTCCTGCTGTGCGGCCCTAACAGGCCACGGACTGGTACTGGTCCACGGCCCTGGGGGTTGGAGACCCCTGAGGTACCAGGTACCAATCAGTCAGGTCACCTGACTATAAAGACAGGAGCCCAGTCAGTCCCTGCTCAGTTGTTTGTGGTCTGCATAGCAGACCATCTTGCTTCTGAAGATACCAGCCACAGTTGCTGGTGAAACATCAGGAAATTTGTTATCTAGACCATGGTCACTAAATCCTGAAGCTCAACACTGCCCATCAGATACCAGCCATGAAAGTCTACCCAATATATTATGGCACTTTCTCAATGCCATTTGAGAAGGAGGAAGGCTGAAGAATTATGATATAATTAGGTAGAATTGGGAGGAAGTTTCCCCTCCTCTTTGTTCTTAAAAGTGGTGGTTGCTTAGCATCTCATGAAGAACAATTGTTTCCAAAGGCCACCAGTTAATTCTTTTGGGTTGGGGGAAGAATGGAGTGCTTTCAGCAGCAGATGAGGTGGAGAGAGAATACTAAGCTGCTGGAGCATCAAGATTAGCAGCTCTGGGGGAGAAGCTGAGACCATCTTCTCAAAATCCCTCTCAAGCATAGTAATACCTCTTCCAGAAAAAATAAAAGAATGAAAACGGTATACTCTGCAGTAAAGAACCGCAACTCAGACCTGTTTATTAGCCCAACATGCATATTTTTAAAGTGGTTTCTACAAAAAGAGACACTAGTCACACAACAAATCTTCTTGTCCTAAAGAGGACAGCAAGGGTGTTTTGATGCAAATTTTACTTCAAAGGTACTGTCAGTGTAAAACCTGCAAAGCTTGACTGTCTTTGATAGCTTTGTTTGTTTCACAGATTGTAACTGACAGGATAGGTGTGTTTCTAATCTCATAGATCTAGGAGGAGATGGGGAGAAGGGCAGTGAGGCCTTGTTATGAAACAGGCTGTCTCGCAAGCTGGTATATCTCAGGAAGCACTACTGGTATGGATAGGTGCACTGCTTATGAGAATTTATGCTTCTCTTGGCTGAGGTCACTCCTGGGAACTGGGAGGACTATATTACTTAATCCTAAAGACTACGTAATCAGCCAGTGATAAACTCTATAGAAAGCTTAATCTTGCCTATTGGGAAGCAACAGCTGCAATGAGGGAACATCAAACCAGGTCATCCATGAGTAGACATGTTTCTCCCTTCTGTGTCATATTTATGAATCATCTTAACAAAGGGTTGATTAATGCTTACCATCTGCTCTTTGGAACAGTTTTAAGGGAGATGCAAAAGAGGGACTGCCAAGCAATGGATTGAGTGTGGCACATTGTCTTGAAACACAGCTTTACTGAACTTGCTGATCTGATGTGTACTCTCTTTCGGAAATAGCTTACAATGTGTTGCTCCATCTGGAATGTGCCATCCAAAAACTAAAGGCTATCCATGTAATCTTAGCATCTGGACAGTACATGTTTTTCTCAGACCTGTGGCTCTGTCCTGTTGCATTGTATACTTGCTTCCATATGGTCCATCTTGAGCCCACATGCTCCAGTAAAATGTCTTCCTGATAGTCAGTCTTGAAAAATCATGTGATATCTTTCTACCAAGAATGTGAAAAGAAAAGAAAAGGCAAAACTGTTAGGAGTGAAAAAGAATGAAGGGAGAGGAAGCAATTGCAGAGTGAGATCAGGAAATAATTGCCAGGAAAGAGGTGTGACTAGGATGAATTGGATGAAAACTGAACTTCATCATATGTGCTGATTGGTTACTTTTTCTGTGTATTTAATGCTAAGCAACTTAGTTTGCAACTCTGCTTTTATATGTCATGAGCATCTCCTTTTATTCTTTTTAAACAAAACATTCACCCATTGGATTAACTCATAGTATCTATGGGTTCCTCCTTTGATTGGGTGTAAGCAACTATACTTACAGAAAATTCTACCTCTGATTTAGTTTAGTGTGCTGTGTGAACCAGAGATACTCATTTGTTTTGAAAAAACATATCAGAAAAAGAAATCTAGAAAAAAATTTCATTTCTTTTTCTGACTTGTTTACTTTGGAACAAATCACAATCTTTGTTTCACATATACAGACCTAACCATAGAGGAGTTATCTGTAATTTGTTAATAGTTCCTGCTAATAGATACAGCTACAAGTGCAGCCATTCTGATTTAATTTGACGTGCAGATTTTGGTTAACTTTCAATGTTCTTGTCCTTTATATAGTGATATTAGGTATATTGTATATTGTTAGTCATTGATAGGATTATGGGAGAAGCCTATCAGTTTAAGCCATTCTTGCTATGGTTAGAGTAAATTTGCATTTTAAAACAAAAATCTAAAAAAATAGTTCTTTACTCAGAAGCCTTTGCATATCTGTGGCCTATTTTTTGCTAAGAAGAGACATCTGCATATTACTTAATCCTTGGAATGATGAGAACACACATTAATGATATAACATGTATGAGAATATGAACATGAGGGAATAGGTTGGGTCCATTGCTTCCACTTCCTGTCCCACAGCATCCATGACCCCCAGATAGCATGGTTCATTTTCATAGCTGGAAATTGTAAGCTTGAGGAAAGCAGGTCCAAGCTGTCTCTCTGCTCTATTCCATTTACATACATCAAATGTATAGGGGTTCTTTCAGAAATGATTAATTGTGCTGCATCTCAACTTCTAAATAATGTCCTTCTGTCTGTAAAATTGAATAATTGGAGATCTATTTTAAAAATGGGTTATTTAGCCTAAATGAGTGATGCCCAAACTGGCCTGGAAGGAAATTGTGCACAATTGGTCATCTAGTGTAAAAACAGCTCTTTTCAACATAATTTTGTTAATTGGGAGCCAAGAAAGAGTGTCAACTTGATCAATTATTAACATGTCTAAGCTTGAATCTGATTTCTATTCATTGTGGGTATATTTATTTTTTTTATTGAGAAGATATACAGTACACTGTACTTATTATTTAACTTATTAGAATCTAATTTTACTTGTGCTGATAGGAATCTTTTATGTTTCTTAATGGTTAGCACAATCACATAAAGAAGTACATCTTTTCTCTCAACTTAAGTACATTTCCTTTAAAATTCAGTTGTTCTGAATTCTGCATGTGTTCTAGGGAGACAGCATCAGTATTTTGAAGAGTGGTATAATTATTTTTCTGAGCCTGTATAGATAGCTTAGCCCTACAGCAAAGTTTATGTTCCCTTTCTGTACAAATGTCCTTGACACATCTCAATCAAATAATAGCTTGTTTTAATGAATTCTAAAAATGACACCACCTATTTTCCTCTCCCCTGCAGTGTGAATGAACTCTATGTGGATGATCCAGACAAAGACAGTGGGGGCAAAATAGAAGTAAATTTGAACATCAGCTTGCCAAATCTGCACTGTGAATGTGAGTTTTCCTTATTCAGCTAAGATTACAATTGTGATTGAAGAACTATGATGTTAACTTCATATTTTACATTCAGATTCCTATGAGTAATACTTGTTCTTTTCTTGGAAAAAAAAGATTTTCTATGTAGAGTTACATTCTTGCTTTTATGAATGACTTTTCTGGTGTTGCTAAATATTTATTTAGACAATAGTGTACTTGTCATTGTAACAAATGACGGGGTACTTAATAGAAAAGAAAAATATTTATAGAACACTCTTTCCTTGAAAAGAGAATGAGGGCTTAATTTGGCATCTATTCTCATGTTTTCAGTACTAGGCAAAGAGCATTTCTGAAAAAAAAAAGGCTTCAAAATGACTGCAATACTTTTCTAACTATTTTTACAATACGTGTGAGGGTGTGTATTATATAAGTAGAATTTCTACCACCAGCTCACATTTCACTGGAGCTTCTATGTGAGAGAACCATGCAGAGTCCACTGAAATGAATAGACCTGATGGCAACTGCTGTGGTTGTTGGCGGCCTCCCATGTGTATCTTGAATCTTTGGAAGGCAATCAGTTACTATGGTTCAGAGACATTTTCTTAGATTCAGAAAGGGAAAGCAAGTATTATTTTATAGCATGTATAAAAGTATCACAGCTTCTGGGGACTTTAGCAACTAGGACAGGGTGATCATTTCCAGGTATTCATGGATTTAAAATTATAGGAGGGACAAGCTATACTGCTGTGTGTGTCCTTAGATGTGATTTTTTTAAAAAAATTGCCTTATTCTCAGTCCAGTCCACTGGTTCATCTGTTGCTTCCTCTGACAGATAGCATCCCAGCAGGATCTTAGACAACAGTCTTTTTTATCTTTGTTATCAATATTGTAATGGGAGAGAGGCAGGAAGGTCGTCCTAGCTGCCCAGCTGCCTGGCACCTATATTGGGCAACAGCGATATAGGAGAATGCCAGAGGCAGATGATCACTTTAGTGACAATGGCAAAGGCATCAATTCATACTGTGTGGGAGAAGGCAGTGGTAAACAACTCCAATATTTTTACCAAGAAACCATATGGATAGAAAATATAAAATGATGGATAGTATAGTAGCCTTTGATAGTATATGGCCTTTCAGGTCAGAGGGCACTGAACATGCTACCGAGGAAGAGCTGAGGATCTTTTGGAGTATTAATGGTG